ATAAAAGACAAAAGAATTCAATTGATAAAATTAAAAGTTTAGACGCTCAATGGACATAAAAAACAATTAAAAGGCTCAACAGATATAAGAGTTATAGTTTGAAAGTCATATTTGCAGTATACTCCGATTATTTGGGTCATATGAGTGACTTAATTCACCATTTTTCATTAAAAAAATTTAATGGAGATAGATATAAAGGCTCGATTAACGCAATTAAAGCTGGGGTGTGTATGTCAATCGTCGAGTGTGATGTCACTCGTCAAGAGACACGACGTCGTTCTCTTCTCTTCCTCCTGTTTCTTCTTCCTGGGCACGTTAACTTCATCTGTTGAGCTAGGGTTTACCAGCTAACGGCGCACCAAACCAAATGTTGAGGCGAGAAGCCATTATTGCAGACAGAAACATACTCAATCTCGGCCCGCACACACGGTAAGGTAAACTGTTCATACGAATTCGATGATTCATTTTATAAGCAAGAATTTGCAAAATCTAAGGCCTATAGTTTTGACTTCAAGACATGTCTTTTTATTCTCAACCTCAACTGTCAAACAAACCTTAAAAAGCTCGAATTCAGCAGAGCCACAGACTCTTACACTTTCTTACCTCATAAACTCATGTGGGTTATCCTTAGAATCAGCTAAAGTAGCTTCCAAGAAGCTCCAACTGGGCACCACTGACCAACCAGAGTCAGTATTGAACCTCTTGAAAGGGCATGGGTTAACCCAAACACAGATAAAGAAATTGGTCGCCACTCGTCCGCTGATTCTTTTGGCTGACCCACTCAAAACCCTTAAACCCAACTTCGAGTTGCTGAAGACAATGGGATTTTCTGGTGTTAACCTGGTGAAACTACTCCAAAGAGACCCAAGAATACTTGAAACCGATGCACATACAGTAGTTGAGTTCTTTAGGGCTTATGGATTCAGTGAAAAGCAAATTTCAACATTGACCATGAAGCGCCCCAATTTATATTTATATAATGCACAAAAAATTTTCACGCCTAAGTTGGAGTTTTTCAAATCTGTTGGCCTGTCTGGAGAAGAAATTGCTCAAATATTGTCCTCAGAGCCTTATATTTTGGAAAGGAGTCTCGAAAATCATATCATACCTTCTGTTGATGTCATAAGGCGTATCCTTGGCACCGATGAGAAAGTATTGAAAGCAATCAAGGCATGCTACCGCATACTTGAATACAATTTGGAGGAGGTACTTGGTCGAAACATTGAAATCTTGATGAATCATGGTGTACCCAAGTCAATAGTTTTGAAATTGATGATGATTCAACCAAAGTCGCTGCTTGTGAGAACTACTCGATTTGGAGAGGTTGTCGGTGAAATAACGAAATTAGGTTTTAATCCCTCTTCTCTACTATTTGTTTTAGCTGTCCGCTCAATGGCAGTCACGAGCAAATCACTGTGGGAACGGAAATTTGGAGTTTATTGTAGTTATGGTTTGTCAGAGGATGAGATTATTAAAGCATTCAAATTGCAGCCCATGTGTATGATCACTTCAGAAAAGAAAATCCAGAAATTGATGACTTTCTTTGTGAATGAGCTGAAGTTGAAGCCTTCGATGATTTCCAAGAATCCGAATCTTATGCTACTTAGCTTGGAAAAGAGGATTATCCCAAGGTGTTCAGTTTTACAACTTTTGATGTCAAAGAATCTGATTAGGAGAGATACGAGCTTAGTTTTCGCCTTCAGAATGTCGGAAAAGATGTTTATGGGGAAGTTTGTGAGCAAGTATCAGAACGTGATTCCTGAAGTTGTTGAAGCATATGAAGGCAAGATAAAGTTTCAGGGATTTCCTGTTGCTTTAAAAATGTAAATGGATATATTGTTGTAGAATATGTCCAGCATAGTACTTCAAGATCTCCTGTCCGGCACAGTTATTTGAGATCTCGACTTAAATTTAAATTAAGATTGCACAAGTTTATCTGGATTGGTTGTCCATTCCTTGCTCTGCTGTATCAGTTGATGGCAATGAGATGATGCTTTCCAGGAAATGACAGTGGTCTTGTTTATTAGCAATGGCAATAGCCATTACAGTTCTGGAGACTCTCCTCCCTGTCCTCCATTTAGTTGCCAAGGAATGACAGAACTGAAGGATTATAAAGTCCTCTGTGAGATAAACATCAAGTCACTTGTTGAATTTTAAGCAGTCAGGTTTTAAAGCTTTTAATTTTATTATTTGAACATCACATTTTCTTCAAATTATTATTCAATTGATTTGATCATTGGCACAGTGATTTTATTATTCTTTTTTATGCTTTCTCTATAAAGAAAAATGGTTAGCTAAAGAATAAATTTAATGAATGTATTTATTTATTTATTTATTGTTGTTGATTTTTTTTTTGATATTTATTGTTGTTGATTTGAAATTCTCTTCATTGTGCTTATTGCTTAAACACCATTTCAGAAGCAACCCTCTACTTTGTTAAACCCCGTTTTCAGAATTTCACAGATTGCCTAGTTGATCTTGTTAAGTAATTATCAAGAGTTACTTCGTGATAAGGCTTGTGCTTTGATGGGCATGATGCAGGGGCACTCGTCAAAATAAGTAGTATAACTCTTGGATTGATTGTAACTCAAAGGCTTTTTCGTACTTCCACCTATATTGTATGCCTTGTTTCAAGGTCTACTTTAGTTCCATTGCAGCGGAGTCACCCATATCTGTCCTTTAGAAAGGCATGACAGCATTTATATTGTCTTCAGCTGAAGGATTTTTCTTGATCCAGGAGAAAAAACATTACCAGCTAGCTGAGTGAGAGTTACGTTATATTGGGGTATCTCTTGGTTTCCCTCTTAGATTTAGCTGTAAGTGCTTCCTCATTCATGGCAATCGATTTCAGGTTCTCTATGTAAAATGTCTTCTACTTTCTCTGTGTCATAGTTCATTGGTACCATGTCCTTGGAGCTGCCCTAAACTGCTTATGGTATTACAAATTTGGTGTGTAAAATTTCTCCAATTGCTATACCAATGCATCTACACTCAACGGCAGGTGTAAAAAAGCCTGGGTTTTAGGCCCCATTTAAAAGGAAGATCCCAAATTTTTAACATTATAAATAAGTGAAAATTGGGAGTGAGTCCCCCTGGATATACTTGTTTGTAGATAAGTTCGGTAAGGAAACTTATAAGGGGTTAAGTCTACTTTTAAAATTATGTATACTGACTTAAGTCCATTTTTTTTTAATCTCAAAAATACCCCTAACGGTGTTAATCTTAGATAATTATAGAAAGTTATAGATTAGATATTTTGAGATATATATGTTAACAATTATATTCAGTTTTTTAAGGAAAAGAGAATATCATATTCGACTGCATGATTTATGTCAAAATTAATGGGCTATTATCTCAAATTCAGTTCAAAATTTTCCATTAACATATTCAAATTCAAATTTCATTTTCTGAAGCACAGGAACTTGGTTGTCTGTTACATCAACTTTCTTTCTCACCGGAAATTCGAGCGATTATTTTTTTCCAAGAAGCAGGCGGTATCCTTCTTATTTACACGATACCACTACGTCATTTTTGTTTGATAGGATTTTTGAAGGTGATACATGCATCAATTGAGAGTTCGAATTTTGCTGTGATTCCAGGTTAACTTATTCGTTCTCTATTTCCTGAGATATGTTCATTGTAATTGACTGATTTACATAATATGATTAGTTATTATATGCTGAGGTATTTTCATTGTAATTTCTTGATTTACATGATATGAATTCTTGTGCTGTTTTGGATTTTTTTGCGTAAATTGATATTCATTTGTTGGAAATTCTAGGTTACTTATCAGAATTTCATATTGCAACCTTTTTCACCAGAGTTTTTTTTTGAAATTAGGTACTAAGTTATTGCTTTCATGTTACTGTTCGTGATTTTATTAGAATTATAATTGCTTATTTTTCATTTTTTTTCCTTTTGTTATTGCCAAAATACGATGTAACTTTCCGGTATTCATATCGCGATGTTCCTTATCAGAGTTATTTTTTTTTTAATTAGGTTCTAGGTTTTTTTTTATCATGTTACTGTTAGTGATTTATTGGAATTAGAATAGTTATGTTTGTTTTTCTATTTTTTCCCACTTATTTTTGTTTTATTGGTTATAACAGATGGATGATAACATTTTGTTTGTTGCAAGTATTCTTCTAAGATTGTTGTGTTAAGAATTTCAATGCATTCCACAATTGATGATGTGTTACATGGTGTTTGTGACAATTGGAATGGTTTGAGTGTCAATTGTGTTGCCCTATCGTACGCTATTCTCGGACATCTGATTTGTGCTTTGCAAAATGATAATGTTGTGAGAAACGTGTTCTAATTGTACGATTTGTTCAGTTGAATTTTGTTGAAGTTACAGTTGTTATTAAAGGGAATGTGGTTAATGATTTTGAGGGTGGGGAAGTTGTGAAAAGTTCTGAATTAACTGTTGACCCTATTGGTCGCGAGGATGATCTTTTCCCTCGTTTTTGTTCTCACAATGAGAATGTTTTGTTGACTGATAGATGGTCCAATGTAATAGTAGAGGTGGGACAGAAGTTTGAGGGAAGAGTAGTTGATTTTTGGAATGTGTTATGCAAATATGCAATCAAAGTTGATTTTCAGTTTAATTATTTGAAGAATGAAAAAACAAGGGTGAAAACTGAATGTGCAATGAAATATTCTGTTGGGTGTGAGTGGTTTGTTGTTGCTACACTCTAACGGATAAATGGATGATTTTACATTAAGAAGTTAAACAATGAGCACACACGCGGTATGACTGCACGTACGACAAAGAATAAAAGATTGACTTCTACTTTGGTTGGAGGGCTTATTGTTGACAATGTCAGACAAAAACCTGACACACGTCCAGTTAACGTGAAAAGTATGTTTCATACAGATTATGGTTTGATCATATCGTATGATCAAGTTTGGGTCGACTGGTACCCCCAGTTCATTTTCATCTTTTGAACAAGTTGTTGTAGAAAGGTTCCTTAACATTCTTTTTAAGCTGCTTATGCTAACAGCACACAGTTCTAGAGGTGACTTTCATGAGCTCCTGAATGGTTCTACTAGCATTTTTTGTATGCTGCAGTTCCATTGATCAGAACTTGAGTTTGCAGTTGAGCCAAGATCAGAGAATGTAACTCCCAGTTCTGATAAGGTGGCTTCTTGATGTATCCTCTGCCAGATATACTTTTGTTCTTCATCAGCTCAATATTCTAGCATAAATTGAAGACTATATTGTCAGTGTATAGTCTAAGATTACTCCACTTCAAGCACTTTAAACTTGAATTAAGTACTCCTCATTTTGAGGTTGGGAGTTCGAATCTTGGAGTCCTCATTGGAGCTTGATGGTTGGTTGCTATGCTAACCTAGCTAGGTTTGGTCCCGAGAGAAGTTCCAGGCGCGATTAGGGGTCTTATGATCCCACCAGTGAGAGCCTATTAGGGTAGTCGTTGGACGCTCTTCCTTGTCCCCACCCTATTTTTAACCAGTAAAAAAAAAAGTACTAATCTTCAACAATTTTGAAACAAAATTACCAAACTATGACACTTTTAAACTTATTTACCAAATTACGACAGTTTTTAAAAAGATGGTCAAAACACCCTTTTTTAAAGGTGCCCACTTTTAAGAATTATTTCATTAGGCTTAACACTCTCCTATTCCAACAAAAGATTAAAAATGGAGTCGTTGACCCCACCTTATAATAAAAGCAGAGCGTGGTTGCAAACAAAAGCGGGGTAAACAACTCTTATTTTTTTAAAAAATACCATATTTTGATAAATAAATTTAATAGTGTCATAATTTAATTATTTTGTTTCGAAATTATCGTAAATTAGTAATTAATTCTGTAAACTTTCTTAATGTAGTACTCCTCGTAGCACTTTTGCTTCTGGATTCTAAGCCCAATTCTCGACTTAGCAAGATTAATGTATGAATACTAATAATTGACAATCAAAATAATTGGCATGATTTAATTTATTGGTCAAATAAATATCAAAACTTAAATTCGTACATTTTGAGTCTGAAGATTCTTGATTGTACAAAATACATAGATTAAATCGATTCATGTCATTGATACGTAATTATGTGTATTCGAAGTTTGCATTATTACTTGAGTTTTTTTTTTTGGAACATAAACAGATACATAGTTGCAATGATGTTCTATTACAACAAACAAAATTAGTGTGTTAAAATATCATAATTATTGCAAGAGCAAGCTTTGGAAATTCTATAAAGTGTAGTCCATCGTGTTCAAGGAAATGCACTAATCTGACCAAAAAAAACAGGAAATGCCCTTTATCCGAGGATAGGATAACCAATATAGCCTATATAGGTGCGGGATAGTCCAAGTCTCAGACTTGATTCTATCCAGCCAAACAAACTCTTTTTGTTGGCGGAGTGGCCAAACATTTGAAATCACGACGTCGTACGTACGCTCCTCTTCCTACAATTGAACTTCATCAACTCTGCTAGGGTTAGTTGTTCCAAAAAAAAAATCTGCTAGGGTTAGTTTTAACAGTTTAACGACACACAAAACCAAATGCAGAGGAGAGGAGAGAAGCCATTGTTGCAGACAGAAACGAAGTGAATCTCAGCTCTCAAACCCTGTAAGTCAGACTGTGCCAATACGTATATATCGCTCCGATGATTCATTTGATTTTTAAAAATCTACAAAATCTAAGGCCTACAGTTTCAACTACAAGCCATGTCTATCTGTTCTCAACTTCAACTGTCAAACCAGCCTCAAAAGGATCGAGTTCAACAGATTCGCACTCTCTTACAATCTCTTACCTCATAAACTCATGTGGGTTGTCCTTAGAATCAGCTACAGCAGCTTCCAGGAAGCTAAAATTTGAAACCACTGACCAGCCAGACTCAGTCTTGAACCTCTTGAAAACGCATGGCTTAAGCCAAACCCACATAAAAGCATTGGTCACCAATCGTCCAATGATACTCTTGGCTCATTCTCACAAAACCCTTAAACCCCATTGTGAGCTGTTCAAAACTCTGGGAATTTCTGGTGCTAACCTTGCGAAAATACTCAACAAAGAGCCAAGAATACTTGAAAGCGATGTGCATACTGTGGTTGAGTTCTTTAGAGCTAATGGATTCAGTGACAAGCAAACTTCAACATTAACCATGAAGCACCCAAATTTATATATGTACAATGCACACCGAAATTTTACACCCAAGTTGGACCTTTTCAAATCGATGGGTTTTTCAGGGGCAGAAATTGCTCAAATGTTGTCCTCAGAGCCTTATATTTTGGGAAGGAGCCTTGAAAATCAGATCATACCCTCTGTTCTTGCGATTAAGGGTATTGTTGGCACGGATGAGAATGTCGTGAAAGCAATAAAGGCATACTACTGCATACTTGAACGCAATTTGCAGGAGGTACTTGAGCCGAACATTGCAATCTTGATTAATACTGGTGTACCCCAGTCAAAAGTTGCGAAATTGATCATGATTCAACCAAGGTCATTGCTTGTGAGACCTAATCGATTTAGCGAAGTTGTCAGTGAGGTTAAGGGATTAGGTTTTGATCCCACAAATCTCTTATTTGTTTTAGCTGTCCGTTCAATGGCAGTCATGAGCAAATCGTTGTGGGAACATAAATTGGGAGTCTATTGTAGCTGTGGTTTATCACAGGATGAGATTATTTCCGCATTCAAGTTGCAGCCCTTATGTATGCTCACTTCAGAAAAGAAAATCAGGAAAATGATGGATTTCTTTGTGAATGAGCTGAAGTTGAAGTCTTCGATGCTTTCCAAGAATCCAAATCTTTTGTCATTTAGCTTGGAGAAGAGAATTATTCCAAGGTGTTCAGTTTTGCAGCTTTTGATGTCGAACGATCTGATTAAGGGTGATATAAGCTTAGTTTTTGCATTGCAAATGACCGAAAATATGTTTTTGAGGAAGTTTGTGAGCAAGTATCAGCACATGATTCCAGAAGTTGTTGAGGCACATCAAGGCAAGATAAAGTTTCAGGGTTTTCCTATTGCTCTAAAAATGTGAATAATTGTAATGTCATAGAATGTCCAGAACATTGATTTGGTGTCTCAACTTAGATTTGGTTTATGGTTGCTCAAGATTTTGGGATAGGTTGTGCGAGCATCCCAGGGTTGAATCAATTGATGGCTATTAGAGGATGATTTCCAGGATATGAAACAGTTAAGTTACACCAAATATTTTCTCTGGCAGGCAACCATTGTAGGTATAGATGGTTGCCTGGTATAAGAATACTGGCATTAGCAAATACAGCTCTGGAGAATTTCCTCCCTGGAATCCAGTAAGTTGCCAAAAGAATGACAGATTGAAGGATTGTAAAGTCCTCTTTGAGATTTGTCCAAAATATCAAGGCATTTGTTAAGGTTTGAGTGAGTCAGGCTTTAAGGTTGGAATCAACTTTTAATTTTAATAAGATTTGAATATCACTTTTTTTTGAGATATTATTCAATTTTCATCATTCTGGTTTGTCCTTTTTTCCGTATCATTCACATAGAGATTTTATTGGTCTTTTTCATGCTTTCTCCACACAGAGAAATGGGTTGCTATAGTTTTTGTGTGGAGAAAATGTAGCTAGTATAATTTCGTTTATATTGATAGTGTGGCATCCACAACATGTTGGTTCAACTCGATTTTTAGAATTCCCAAGGATGATGATTTTAGTACATTACCAATCCTAAAATGTGATAAGAATTGTGCTTTGATGGACATGATGCAGGGCTCTTGTCAAGTTACGTACTCTTCGTATGATTGTAACTCAAAAGCATTATTGTAATTCCAAATGTGATGCTTGTTTCAGAGGGTTAGTTCAGCTTCATTTCATTGGAGTCACCTATGTCTGTCCTCTGAAAAAGGCGTGCCTGCACATATGTATCCTTTGTGGCTGAAGAACCTTTCTTGATCCAGCTGACAAACAATAGCATTGTCCGAACCAGCTGGCTAACTGAGAGTTCTGTTATATTGGGATGCATCTCTTGGTGTCTTTCTAAGATGTAGTGGTAAGTGCTGCCTCATTCTTCATATCGATCATACTCAGATTTCCTGTTTCTTCACTCTTCAGTATCTAAACTTCCTCCAGGTTTTGTAGTTTCATGTGTACCATGTCCTTGTAGCTGAGATAGTTTTTATTTTTTAAACTTAGCTGAGGTATGGTTAAATTAAGCTGTTATTGCGTCCCAAACTTGCTGTGAAATATCTCCAGTTCCTATATCCTTGAAATTTGACTGTATTGCGGTCGTTTCCCTTTTGTAGCTACAATTTTTTCACTATACACAGCATTTCAAACTTTTAGCTCTTATCTGAAGAGCTTTCCCATTGAATTCATGTTTTAATAGGATAGCCATGCCCAGTTCAAATGTCTCCTTACTACATCTCATTTGGAAAGATTTTCCCGTGTCCCAGAGCATCGGCAAACTGTCAATTGATTTTCTCGGGCGTCATTCATAAATTTAGTTTTAAGCTCTGAAGGAATTAAAATACAATCATATGCAACCATTTACTCTTGATTATCTCTGATTCATTACAGGTGGTTGTTTCAGCATTCGTGAAGATTGATATTGATGTTTTTACAATGTCATGTTCACAAGAACTTTCTATTCAACATTTGCACCCCTATAGATATGATTCATACCCCAATCTAGATGTTCCTTTAGCAGATGCTTCAAATCTCCAATGGAAAGCAGAATTGACCAGTTTGGTTTTGCATGGCTGAGTGTATAACTGTCTGACAGACCCCTTTAATGGTGATACATAATTCCAACCCTTCTTTTATAGGAACATAATTCCGACCCATCAAATCATTACTCAAGAAATATAGAGGAGAAGTTTTATGAAGTTCATGGGTAAATCTAATTAAATCAATGGTCTCATCTCATGCTCTCTGGCTTCTCCATGAGGAATAAGTCTGGCAATGCAAAGACAAAGCAAATAGACATAACCAAAAGCCTCGCACAAAATGCCCTCTACAGTGAAAACCAAGATAGATAAATTCACAAAGGCACTAGTGTGGTAGTAACTTAACCCATCTAACCTAACAGTAATTATCAATGGTTAGAAGTGCCTTGTCTACAATGGAAACAAATCCAACAAATTATAGCTAACCCCGATGATTCAATATCACTGCGTTGTTTCAGCATTCATGGAGATTTTCATTGATGCGTTTATAATGTCATGTTCACCAGCTTTCCAAAACAAATGTCATATTCACCAGAACTTCTATTCAATGTAGGCAAAAATCCTTCAATTCCAGGTGGTATTTTCAATGGCTGATCTCTTATCTATTGGGCATGTCTGTAGACAAGCATCACCATTACACTGGCATTCTTAAATGATAAGAAGAATCAAGATAGCAAACCTGGAATTATTTTGATTGAAGCCAGTTTGAAATTTTTGTTGTGGCCTAAGTGCTGCATGAGCAGTTCATGTGTGGTAAGGACTTCTGTTTGTGGTGGCAGTGTCAATTCTGAATATGCCCATTGTTATGGGTGTACTAGGACTGGAATACAAGACACCCATAACACCTATCCTACAAGAACTTGGACTCAATTATGTTGCCCAGGAAGTGGATCTGGCAGTACTCCTCGTAGCACTTTGCTTATGAATTCTCAGCCCAATTCTCGATTTAGCAAGACTAATGTCTGAATAATGACAATTGACAATCAAATCATCGGCTAGTTATGGAAGCCTTAGCAGCTTTAAGCATATTTGTTAATTGGCATGATTTAGTTTAGTGGTCAAACAAAGAGAGAAATTTTAAAACATATAAATTTAAACGATTCATGTTATATATACGTTACATTCGAGTATTGTATTATAACCTGAGTTCTTTTATTATTTGAACAGAAACCTGAGATCAAATGATATTACAATAAACAAAATTAGCGTGTTAAAATATCATATTTCTAGCAATAGCAAGTTTTGGAAATTCTATAAGGTGTAGTCCATCGTGTTCAAGGAAATGCACTTGATCCGAGAATAGGATAACCCATATAGGTGTGGGATAGTCCAAATCTCAAACTTGATTCTATCCAGCCAAACAAACTCTTCTTGCTGCTGGAGTTGCCCAACATTCGAAACAACGTTGTACGTACGCTCCTCTTCCTAGAATTGTACTTCATCAACTTTGCTAGGGTTACCAGTTTAACGACGCACAAAACCAAAGGCAGAGGAGAGGAGAGAAGCCATTGTTGCAGACAGAAACGAATTGAATCTAAGCTCTCAAATCCTGTAAGTCAGACTGTGCCTATACGGCCTACAGTTTCAACTACAGGCCATGTCTATCTGTTCTCAACTTCAACTGTCAAACCAGCCTCAAAAGGATCGAGTTCAACAGATTCGCACTCTCTTACAATCTCTTACCTCATAAACTCATGTGGGTTGTCCTTAGAATCAGCTACAGCAGCTTCCAGGAAGCTAAAATTTGAAACCACTGACCAGCCAGACTCGGTCTTGAACCTCTTGAAAACGCATGGCTTAACCCAAACCCACATAAAAGCATTGGTCACCAATCGTCCAATGATGCTCTTGGCTCATCCTCACAAAACCCTTAAACCCAATTGTGAGCTGTTCAAAACTCTGGGAATTTCTGGTGCTAACCTTGTGAAAATACTCAACAAAGAGCCAAGAATACTTGAAAGCGATGTGCATACTGTGGTTGAGTTCTTTAGAGCTAATGGATTCAGTGACAAGCAAGCGCCCAAATTTATATTTGTACAGTGCACACCGAAATTTTACACCCAAGTTGGACTTTTTTAAATCAATGGGCTTTTCAGGGGAAGAAATTGCTCAAATGTTGGCCTCTGACTCAGAGCCTTGTATTTTGGGAAAGAGCCTTGAAAATCATATCATACCCTCTGTTCTTGTGATTAGGGGTATTGTTGGCACGGATGAGAATGTCGTGAAAGCAATGAAGGCGTACTACTGCAGACTTGTAAACCTCCGCACCATTATCTTTATATAGTGAATATTTATTTTTGAAATGTTAATATAGGTGATAAAATATGTATAAATTCTATAGATTTCAATAATATAAATAAATACTAAAGAGGTAAATTAATAGTGAAATTTAATTTTTGAAAATTTTTAAGGTTGATAAGGGTAATTAAGTAAAAATATAAATTATTTTTAGCTCAAAATAATATTATCTTTGAACTTGAGAGATCCAAAAAATATGGAATAACTTTTTAGCACATATAGCGGTTCGGAGGAATAAAATAGTAATTTTCGTGTTTCAAGCGTAAATTTATTTTAGTTTTGAAATAACTCATAAAAATAAATATTTTTAAGTTAAAATAACATTAAAAATGAATCCGAAACGTCGAAAAACCTTAAGATAGTGATATGAATCAAATTAGAGATTCTTAGTGGCAAAATCGTAATTTTTGAAAAAACCAAATCAACCTGAACAGTAAAAATCGGGGTTGCTGTGTTTAAAAATCCATTTTCATCCCATTTACTCTCATTTTTTTTACTCCACTCTCACCCCACACCTCTTTGAACCTTAGAGGAAGATTAAGGAAGGAAGAAAAGGGAAGAAGGAGGTCACTAGAGTTTGAGTTCTTACTTGAAATTTTGATTCAAGTAGGAGTTTTCTTCAATTCTCTAACATTGAAGCTAGGATAATAGATATATATTTTCTTTGACTCTACATCATATTAATATGCTATGAAATCATGGATTCTTGATATTTTTACAAACGTTAGCATTTTTAAACAATGGGATGGTTGGGTAACCATCAAAGTTCTTTTCTCATATTCAAAACCCTAAATTTCAAGAAAAGTGGATTTTTCTCTTGATTTCTCTTTTATTCTTGATTTCAAAACTTTAGTGTTTCATATTGAACAACACTTCTTAAATTGTTCCATTGTGAAATAAATGTGGATTTGGATGTGAAAAATTGAGGATTTATGGAATTGAGTGTATTTGAGAAATTGTTGGTGATTGTATTTCATGGAGGTGTTTGGATGACCATGGGTGGCTATTGACCGGGTATCGTAGAGTGGGTAGATGTGTGTGGTTTTTACTCCGTGTGGGTTTGAACTTTTCCTACTACTCGCAGTGAGGTTGGTGTCTTGCGAGGACCAAACCACTATTACCTCACGGGTGCCATGTCAGAGGATTAGTATACTATGTCTGGATCGGATTCGTTATTGCCGGTGCATTGGTATGAGACAATGCATCAGTAGGCACCTTTCCCGAAGTTGATATCCTTGCGAAGAATTGTGTGTGTGTGGGTCAATATATTCTTTATGTGTTTATTCATGCGATTATCTTACATCAAACTTGAGATATATTGTGGTTATTGTTTATTATGTTATCTTTGGATATAATTATCATGGAAATTGTTGTGGGAATGATTACTCTTTGAAATGATTATTTATCTTGAGATTGACTTTACTCTTGTATTTAAGTATTGTTAATGTATAAATTTGAGATCTTTTAAAAATATCATGTTTTCTTTCAAAATTTATGTATGCGATTTGTGAAATGAGACCGACCGTTTTTTTTTTATGTTTTTCAAACCTTGTTAGAGTTTGAAAAGATTTTCCTACAGAACTTAGTGCTCACCCCCTACTAATAATTATTTTTTTTCAGATTTCGTGCTAGAGGAAAATCCCGGAGTTGACGAGTTGGGAAATTGGGAAGTTCCACCAGAGAGAAACCTAGATATTGGGTGGACATCTAGAGCTATAGTTTATTTTTGTACTAAACTAAGGAATTTATTTACGACGATTATGTACAGTCTAGTATTTTGTTTATTACGCTGCTAAATTTGAATATAATTCTTTTAAAATATAATTGTCATAGGTTGACCTATTCTTTTGGGATGATATTATAGATATTACATAAGGTGAATGAAATTTTATTATTTGATAGGTAAATGGATTCGGTGTACTCAATATTTATTCATATATGGACCCGGTGTGATCAATGTAATATAATTGCACACGTTATATTTTGAATAGAACTTCCCGTACAAAAGAGATTCTCCCCGAATTTTATTAAATTAAGGATTCCCGATTTTGGGGCGATAGAATACTTGAATGCAATTTGGAGGAGTTACTTGAGCCGAACATTGCAATCTTGATTAATGCTGGTGTACCCCTGTCAAAAGTTGTGAAGTTGATCATGATTCAACCAAGGTCGTTGCTTGTGAGACCTAATCGATTTAGCGAAGTTGTCAGTGAGGTTAAGGGATTAGGTTTTGATCCCACCAATCTGTCATTTGTTTTAGCTGTCCGTTCTATGGGAGTCATGAGCAAATCGTTGTGAGAACATAAATTGGGAGTCTATTGTAGCTGTGGTTTGTCAGAGGATGAAATTATTTCAGCTTTCAAGATGCAGCCCTTATGTATGCTCAATTCAGAAAAGAAAATCAGGAAAATTATGGATTTCTTTGTCAAGAATTATGCTTTCCAAGAATCCGAAACTTCTGTCATTAAGCTTGGAGAAGAGAATTATTCCAAGGTGTTCAGTTTTGCAGCTTTTGATGTCGAAGGATCTGATTAAGCGTGATATAAGCTTGGCTTATGCATTGCAAATGACTGAACAGATGTTTTTGAGGAAGTTTGTGAGCAAGTATCAGCACATGATTCCAGAAGTTGTTGGGCACATCAAGGCAAGATAAAGTTTCAGGGTTCTCCTATTGCTCTAAAAATGTGAATAATCGTAATGTCATAGAATGTCCAGAACATTGATTTGGTGTCTCAACTTAGATTTGGTTTATGGTTGCACAAGATTTTGGGAAAGGTTGTGCGAGCATCCCATGTCCTCGTAGCTGAGATAGTTTTTATTTTTTAAACTTAGCTGAGGTATGGTTAAATTAAGCTGCTATTGTTTCCCAAACTTGCTGTGAAATATCTCCAGTTCCTATATCCTTGAAATATGGCTGTATTGTGGTCCTTTCCCTTTTGTAGCTACACTTTTTTCACTATACACAGCATTTCAAACTTTTAGCTCTTATCTGAAGAGCTTTCCCATTGAATTCATGCTTTAATAGGATAGCCATGCCCAGTTCAAATGTCTCCTTACTACATCTCATTTGGAAAGACTTTCCCGTGTCCCAGAGCATTGGCAAACTGTCAATTGATTTTCTCTGAAGTCATTCATAAATTTAGTTTTAATCTCTGAAGGAATTAAAATACAATCATATGCAACTATTTACTCTTGATTATCTCTGATTCATTACAGATGGTTGTTTTAGCATTCGTGAAGATTGATATTGATGCTTTTCCAATGTCATGTTGACAAGAACTTTCTATTCAACATTTGCACTCCTATAGATATGATTCATACTTCAATCTAGATGTTCCTGTAGCAGATGCTTCAAATCTCCAATGGTAAGCAGAATTGACCAGTTTGGTTTTAAATGGCTGAATGTATAACAGTGTGACAGTCGCCTTTAATGGTGATAATTAATTCCAACCCTTCTTTTATAGGAACATAATTCCGACCCATCAAATCATAACTCAATAAATATAGAGTAGCAGTTTATTAAGTTCATGGGTAAATCTAATTAAATCAATGGTCTCATCTCTTGCTCTCTGTCTTTCTCCATGAGGAAGAAGTCTGGCAATGCAAAGACAAAGCAAATAGACATAACCAAAAGCCTCTCACAAAATGCCCTCTACAGAGAAAACCAAGATAGATAAACTCACAAAGGCACTAGTGTGGCAGTAACCTAACCCATCTAACCTAGCAATAATTATCAATGGTTAAAAGTGCCTTGTCTACAATGGAAACAAACCCAACAAATTATAGCTAACCGATGATTCAAAAATAATACTAAACCAACAACAGTTCGACTCCTGGAGGTAGTCTTGTTTCCAGCTCCTTGGCACGCTCTCTAGCCGCTTCCATTCCCTCTGTCACAATAAATTCAGATCTCTCCACAGAATGTGGATTTCGAGGGTTGATAATTATTTTTTCAAGCGTCACAGCATTCCCAATGAAGTACATTGGAAGCTCAAAATCTGCTGGATGCCCACAAAATCCAACAAATTCGACCATCTTGAGGTGTGGAAATGGACATTTTTCAGACTTGCCCATTTTTTCTAATCATCAACCATTTCATAGGTGCAACAAAACTCACAAAATGTTTGAGCCCAATGTCTCGACTTTGATAAGCCTGGGTGTACCCATGTCCAATATTGTGAAATCGATTATTTATTGACCAAGATGGCTGATTCAAAAACCTCGACATTTTAGATTGTTACTTCAGGAATTTGCTAGTTTTGGATTTGATCCCACAAAGATGAAATTTGTTCTAGCTCTCTGAACCTTGGCATCCTTGAGTAGATTAAAATTTGAAGCAAAAATCAAAGTTTTTAGTAGTTTTGGTTTGTCTAGAGATGAATTCCTCTTGGCTTTTAAATTGCAACCCGTGTTTGTGCTCGCTTCAGAAAAAAAGTTGAGAGGAATCATGGGTTTCTTTGTTCAAAAGCTGAATTTTCAGCCTACAAGGATTTCCAGGCGTCCAAATATTTTGCTGCTCAGTTTGGAGAAAAGGATTATTCCAAGGTGTTCAGTATGGCTACTATTGATGTCTGGAGATCTGATTAAGGGGGATGTGAACTTAACTACTGCGATAGCAATGAAGGAGAAGAATTTCTTGGAGAATTTTGTGATCAAGTATCAGCATATGGTACCTGAAGTTGTGAATGCATACCGTGGTGAGAAGGAATTTCTAGGGTTTTAGCATAGATTAGTGGGGTGAAGTTGTTTCATGGAATGCCCAGTTCTCTATGAGGCTGATGCCCTATGCTAAATTATCCTTACCTTTAAGTGGACTTTAAGCTACTAAAACCGAAGTGGGGTGTTGTAAGGTCAGCTTCTCTCTGATTTAGATATACGGATGCCACAAGGGGGTGGTCATGAGGATGTTACAGTTAATGTAGATTAGTCTGAGTCTAACATGATCCAACCACTGCTCTCTTGTAGGGAACTTTGTGACCTTCTTGCAGTTTTAAGGGCAATGACATGAGCAAATTTAAACCACAGTTAAGAGAATTTCCTTGGCATTTGTTGAGCCCTTTGGATTGCTGACCTCAATTTACTGACCTGGGGTCTGCTTATAAATTTTTTCCTGTAGTTAAGGCCTTTAGTAAGTTCTTTAGACTTGTGATTTGATTTCTATTAAATAAATGCACTTTGATCATCCTCACTGATCTTTAAAAATGGTTACTTAGACGGCACTGTCTGCAATTCATTCTTGGTTCGTTGTGTTTAAATCGCTTTCTCACTATCTGTTGCATCTGTGTTAACTTTAAGAGATGATTATTTCATTGAATGGCTGTTAGTTATGTATTCGTAGTTTATATTCATGGATGTATACCAAAACATGGCAGATTGGCAATACAATTTTTTCTGTTCATGTTTAATAATGGAACATATCCACACAAAATAATGGAGCATATCCAACATGTTTAGTTCTCTGGTTAATGGTTATGCAGTGATCTTAATTGTGGAGTCTAAATATAGGAAATGTAAGTATTGCAATAGATTGGTCAAACTCCATTTTCTGAAAACTTGATCCTTGCCATTTAGTCTAATTTAACAATCTGTAAGGTTGACCAATTGATGAGGTCTGGGGGATCTTCATGTTTGGTGTTGGTGATCCTGGGTCTTGATTTTACCAAAAACTGCACTGTATACTTCTACTGAGGTATCTGTGCAAGGGGTAGCCATGCAGTGTAGTCTGTTGCATTTGCACTCTCTGCCTCGGTCTACCATTAGTTTACATCTCTGCTTGTTTAGTTCGAGAAAAGGTTTATGTCCAAGAGTCCAATTATGCAACCACTGATCTCAAGATATCTGATTTAGGGGCATATGAGTCTAGTTTATCGGTTAACATTGACTGAGTACAAGTTGGTGGAGGACATCATGGCCAAGCATTGGTGCGTGCTTCCGGAAAACATCAAAGCACATAAAGGCAAAATAGAATATAATGGTTCCTCATAGGAAAATGTTTGACATGTTTTATGGTAGAACGTTGAACATTGTTTTGAGTGGGAAATGATGGCTGTTCTGTTTTCCTTATTAATGAGATGAACTGATTGCCTCCATGAATTCCCCAGAATCCGAATCTTCTGCTACTTAGATTGGAGAAGAGGATTGCTCCAAGGTGTTCACTGTTCAGATTTGCAACTTGCGATGTTGAAGGAGCTGATCAGGGAAAATGTAAGCTTACTTATGCATTTAGATGACTGAAAAATGATGTTTGTGGGGAGGTATTTGAGCATCAGTATGCAAGTCCTGAAGTTCTTGGGTTGCATCAGGGCATGATACAGTTTCAGGGGGTTTGTTATTGCTTTAAGAATGTGAATATTCAATGTGAGTAGAATTTCCAGCCCAGTGATTCGAGATTTTGGGGTTGATTGTCAGTTTTCTTTAGGCCCAGCCCAGGGGGTTGTGTAATTCTTTTTGTTAGGGGTATTGTAACTGTAATGTTATAATTGGCTGGGCTAAGGATCTTATAACGGCCCATCTTGTTGGGCCCCTGGCCTAAAAAGATCAGCCCAGGCTCTATCTGTCTGGCTGGCGGTTTGTAGCTTTATTGCTCTATGGGAAGTTGGTAGCAACGATGGGAAAATGCGTCAGCCTTATTATAATATGTTATATGTTGCAACTAAAAAGTATATTTTGGTGTATCGTTTCGGTTACTTAGGAAAATGAAAATGTTTCTGAAATATTTTGGAAACACTTTGAAAACAGAGAAAAAAATTGGGAGTTCGATTGTAGAAACATTCCGATACATTTGTTGAAACTCTTCGAAACTAAGACATTCGATATTCAATGACCGATTTATTTTGTTTTTCTTGGAGACAGAAATACTTTGGCCATTTGGAATACAACATAGTATGTGGAAAGCAACTATAATTTAACCAAGCAGTAGTTCTACTGAGTCTGTGCCCGTTGTCTCCAACCTCTTCCACCTGTTTATCACTTGTTTAGTTTTTCTAAATCAAGATTATGACCATGATTTGAGTTCGGTTCAAGGTTTAAACTAGTCGAGTTTAAATAATGTTTTAGGCTGGTTTAAAAAACGAGCTTAAAAAACTCAGTTTGAACTCGCAAAATTTGACTATTTTATATATAAAATAGTTAAGTTACTCGAGTTCAGCTCGTTTTAGGCTCAGCTCGGTCTTGATTTATTTTCTAAATGAGTTAAATTTAAATAATTTTTTAAACTCGTTAAAAAAAATTAGCTGGACAGGCTCGGCTCGATTTCTATACTAGTTGCTGTTGGTGGCAAGCTCAATTCTATGGCATGATCATTGGATTGACAGGGTTATGCAAGGGATTCTTCAATGATTATCATAGTTATGATTCCCCCGTAGAAAGTGAATTATTTGGTAAAGTCATGGCTATAACATGGTGGGTCTATCTTTTGTCAGGAAAGTGACCAATTGAATGTGATAGTCCATTCTGTCGTGACCACTTGAGACTTAACTGGATAAAAATCTATAAAGCCCACCCTCAGTTTTCATTTATATCATCTTAAATGCTTCTCATATTGGTACTAAAGTCAAACTGCCCTGCCCTAAAATTATGGTTATACTTTATATCTAGTAATGATTGTGGGGTCATCAATAGTATCAGATAGCCATCAATACAATGGCCTACCATTGGATGCCCATTTTTTCATCATATTCTTTACTTTCAAAGCTAAAGCTACACTGAAAAAATGTGAGATTCACATCAACTTGATGGTTATATATATATATATATATATTTTTTTTTTTTCTTTTTGTGTGGATAATCCAGTTGTATCAATGGATCACATTAGTATGTTATCCTTCTCACTCATTGGTTGGACTGATGTTGAACCTTGTGCAAAGTTACCTCTCTACTCAAGAAAGTAAATTTATGAGTGGTGACTCCAAAAGAATACACATATCGTGGGATATTTGAATCCCTGATTTACACCTGCGAAGACACTTAGTTTATGTTATTCAAAAAATGTATAATCCCACATCATATTGATAGTGACTTAGAGTATCTCTAATAACAAAAATTAGTTTATGTTATTCAAAAAATAATATTTTTTATTTTAACTACTCATTTTTTTAATACACATTCTAACAAATTTTTTATATTTTTAACCATTTTTTTTTATTATTTTTTTTTGGAGTAGTTTTTTTTTTTGGGTGGGGGGGGAGCGAATGGAGAGAAAAAAATGAGATAAAATATTATAAGTATCTATACATGTTGCTATAATGATATTCTAAATATATGGTGTCATTGTAATAAAATATTATTTTATATGTTATGTTGGATAGAAATTTTAATATAAAATAGCTTAATTTTAAAATTTTTGTGTACTTGAACTCCTCTCTTGAAAATGCTATTACATGCCATCGTCTTTTGTTTGTTGGAAAGATCCTTTGATCCTTGTATTTATGGCCAATATCATTGGCCTAAGATTTAGTTGAATTTCGTTCTATACATTGTCATTTTATTTTGTCTAATGTTAGATCACTCACTGTTTATTAGTGGAGGATCCACTTTGTGCGGTGAGTTCCACTTAGATTGATTATAATGCAACTTATATTTACAATACATGATTTACCATTACGAAAAATTGAAAGAAAATATGTTGGACAAGATTTGGATTTGATCTACACTTAACGAAGATATAAAGCTAGTTAGGAAAGACAATCTTGCAGAGATATGAGTAGGTCTGACAATTCTAGACACGATTCGTGAAATCGATACGAACCTAACACGGATTTAGCGAGTTTGGGTGTAATCATAACGAATTTGGGTAATTAACGGGTTCATTCAGTAGACCCGTGAAATAAACGAATCGATTTCGTGTTTAACCCATAAACTCGTTTCAAACCGTTAACAGTGGTACTATAATTTTTTTTTTAAAAAGTTAGGTCTCTCAACCTCTGCCTCATCGCTCAAACTCATTCAAAATTAGTAGTAATTTAATGTTTATTTTCTGTCTTTATTTTTTTTGCTCAGCTATAATTCATTGTTGTAATAAACATGTCAAACATGTGTAGTGTGTGGTGAGTTGATGATTTTTCATGTGGACTCGAAATACTCTAACTTATTATTTTATTTGGCGGGTGACACACAGATTATATTAGATAACCGGTTTAATAAATGATTCGTGTATAGATGTGATAGTTAAACTTGTTTATATAAACGAATATGGTATGAATTAAGAATTTTTTGATACAAACTTATTTTACTCGACACAAAACTGTTCCATTCGACACAATTGACAGCTTAGATATGAGGTTCCAATGTCTTATCCATGTCAATTACTAAAAAGGTACTGATATGTAAATGAGTGGGGTCGAGTCGAGTTAAGGGGTTAATTATTCAAGTTTGGTTTGACATGTAAATGAAGTTTAGATTAAGGTCAAATTCAAAACTAAATTTGTGATGTTCAAAAAACAAATTAATATTGTCGAGCTATTTTGGGAAATTCAAATTTCTCTAGACGCTAATTAGTTTGATAATTCGAGTCAAATTCAAACACGTACAAGTTTAATGTGTGCTTAAGTTTGACTTATTTATTCAAAACTCGATCTGGAGTGACCAAGTAACTTAAATCGTTTTAATGCCATAGCTTCCGACAGTCATAGGACAGCTAATTAGCTTGCTAACAAAGGAATAAAATTATTAATTTCACTATGGTCACTTTTTTTTGGTCATTAAAAAGGAGATGGACAATCAACAGGTAGTAATCCTCTGGACGTAGCCATGAGGGTCCTCTTATTACAGAATGTCCCGTTTCAACCATAACTATTAATCCATAAGAATAGCCTGTCACTACAGTACTATCAAAGTCAAATAATAAACCGCATTATTCCCGTAAATTAAACCATGTTTGATAATTATATTAAAATTAATAACAATCTTAAACGTTTATGTCTTACCGCTAGACCACTTGTTCAGGTGGTAATGCGGTCACCTTTGTATTGTGGATATGAGGTATATGTGGTCGCACCGACACTGTAGAGGACCAAAACAAAGTGTGTTGGCTCATAAAAAGGTGTCCAATCAAATAGAGATTCCAACAACTAGCAAAAGTGCCATAACAGATTTGTATGGGCAATCTGGGATTAGTCAATTTCATATTCGAGACAGCCTGTCTAGGCATGGTAAGTAGCAATCAAAAGCCCCATGATGCATTTAATTACCATTTTGCCCTTCAATTTCTTGATATGTTATGTTATTTTACATTCTGATTCCGTTTTCACCACCACGATATGTACTCTAAATCTAATCCATGGCCATTATTTCTCGAACGCACATTCAAAAGAACTTATTTTATTTTATTATTATTATTTATGAATATTTTTGTACTATACACACTTCTCCACCATTATAGTTTTTCAAAAATGTAAACGACGTTTTACCTATATTCATTAATTCTCTAAATAACTTCTAGACACGTCATTGACGATAACAATTTATCAAACTTTTGTACTCTTGTTAATGTTATTGTTTTCACCACCTTTTATATATGCGGTAAAGTGAACTTTCATTTGAAATTGAAAAAAAGGCATTCTTTGTGTTGCATGTATGATGTGTGGAGAGGTAAAAAGGATTCAAACATCAAATCATAACTCAAGAAAAATATGGTCTAAGCCTTTATGAAGTTACTTTTAAGGTGTAACAAAGTTTGGACAAATTGGAGTTATTATGGCAAAACAAAATCATTGGAAATTACAAAAGCAACCGAAAAGTTGACAGCCAAAGTTTGGCCTTGTGGACAAATCATGGCAATATCTTAACTTTGAATTTAATTTCTCAAACTATAATAGGCAAATCTAGGTAAAATCAATTTGTCAAGGTAGTTCAATGATGAGATTACTATATCATTTGGCTTTCTAAAGATTGTATGATTTTAAAATGAGAAATGTTATGTTATGTTATCTAAATCAAAACTCACACATTTCACTTTGTGGGTCTCAAAAAACCATTTTTTTTAACTCGAAAAATGTTATGCTGTCCAAGTCTTAGTTCAAATTTTGTATCTCAAGACTTGGACAGCATAGTATTTTTCGAATGAAAAAATTATTTTTTAGGACTCACAAAGTGATATGTGTGGTGCACGTACATTTGAGATACAAGATTTGAATTTTAATTTGAGCAGTATGGTAGTCCTCCTACTTGAGTCAAGACACTTTAACGGTACTAATATGCGTGTTTTGAAAAATAACTATTTGCATCCCAAATTTATGTAATAGTCATGCATGAATTTAAAAAGTAGACTTTATAATTATAATTATTAAATAAACAGTAGGTCTCAATAAATATTGAGATTCACAGTAAAATTAATTATTATAATTATTAAGTCTATTTTTTAAGTTGATATAATATTACCCTGTAAAATATTATCGGGACATTTCAATGTCATCAAAAAAACAATAAGGGTAAAACCCTATTGTCAACCAATAAGCTCCAAATCCGTGTGATTATTTTTTGTTAGTGCCCGTCAGCCATCCTAATTGCTATTATCGTATCCCACTGCTCAGTGCTCACTGCCCTTGCTATTATGAGAGAGAATCAACAACTCAACCACCAACCGTCCTGAGATGGAAGACCACTCGGTCCACTCCATTAATGTAACATATCTCGTTATTTTCAAGAAAAAACACCACGTGATGTGGAAGAACTAAATGCATATTGTAACTTCAGGTATCCCAATTGCTCAGTTACTATAAGATTTCATATTGAAGAGCAAGGTGAAATCTTGTTGGGTTTCAAAAAAGATTTAAGTCATGGAGAAGATGATTGTTTGTTAACCAATATTTTTCCTTCATGGGTCTTGTCAAAATTCCTTGAAAAATAGCACCCATTCATTTTTTCCACCCAAAGTCTACCTCAGTTCAATAGTGATCTTCATCTCTCTCTGTTTTATGGATGTTGTCTGTTAAAGTTTTTACAAAGATGTGATATCGTGAACCTTCAATCTTAGTCTCAGGTGTGTTTTTAGTTGATTTTTCGTATAATTTTATTGGGTTTTCTCTTGAAAACTTTGCAATCCCTCGGCTTCATTTCATTGAAAGGTTTGTGTGCATCTTAAATTTTTTTACATTCATGGGGTGGTCTAGCTTGTTTCTGTTACTGTGTTTTTATTGGAGTTTCTTCATTCTGGTTACGCATCAATTACAATCCTCACAAACCCAAGTGCTTCTTCAGTTAAAAAAACGGTTGGAGTATCCAAAGCAATTAGATTTTTGGTATAATAGCAGCTCAGATTTCTGCTATTTGTCATCCTCTCAAGTGAACGTCACATGTCTGAACAATTTTGTCACTGAGATCAGAATAGTGGGTGATAAGCCAAATAAGGTAAGCAATTTTGATGGATTTGCAATTCCAAGTAGAACTCTATCAGAGAATTTCTCCATGGATTCTTTTATAGCCACCTTGGCAAGGCTCACCAGCTTGAAGTCTCTAACTCTGGTGTCTTTGGGCATTTGGGGTCCACTTCCTGACAAAATGCATCGATTGTATTCCCTTGAAAACTTGGATTTGAGTGGGAATTTTCTATTTGGTTCCATTTCTCCTACAATTTCCAGAATGGTGAAGATTCAAACTCTTAAATTAGATGGGAATTTCTTCAATGGTACAGTTCCTGATTGGTTTGATTCATTATCAAACTTAACCAATGTAAGCTTGAGGGATAACAGGCTGACCGGTTCATTTCCGTCTTCAGTACTGAGAATTACCGTTCTGACTGAACTTGGTTTGTCGAAAAATGGAGTATCAGGCAAATTACCAGATCTAAGTAGCTTAACTAGCCTGCATGTGCTGGATTTGAGTGAAAACAAATTCGATTCTGAACTTCCCAGTATGCCCAAAGGTTTGGCCATAGCTTTTCTTAGAAACAATTCCTTCTCTGGTGAGATTCCACACCAATATAGCCGTCTTCTTGTTCTTCAGCAACTTGATCTGTCGATCAATTCTCTTCGAGGAACGCCTCCCGCTGCACTTTTTTCTTTGCCCAACATTACTTACTTAAATTTGGCATCAAATAGGTTAAGTGGATCACTATCATTTCATTTGAGTTGCAGCAGTAAGCTCGGGTTAGTCGATATATCAAATAATAGATTCAGAGGTTGGTTGCCTTCTTGCTTGGGCACTGCATTACATGAGACGATTGTTAGGTATGGTGGGAATTGTTTGTCAATTGATCCGAGGCATCAGCATCCAGATTCATACTGTGCAGAAATTCCCACGAAGAGGAAAGAATCGAGAGGGAAGAATGTAGGACTATTGGTGGGTGTCATTGGGGGAATTTTTGTTGTTATGGTGCTTTTGGCTTGTGCCTTTCTTGTCTTGTGTCGAAGATATTGCCCTCGAGGAACATCAGAGCAACATTTGTTACATAAGTCCGTGGAAGACAACTCAGTCACAGGGTTCCCTTCACAGCTCCTGACTAATGCAAGTAGGTCGTCCAATCTGAGTTCTCCTGATCTGTCTTTGCTCCCATGAACTGTCCCACATTTTCAAAAACTTACTGTCTCATTTGTTTACAAACTTCAAAGGGTCAATGTAATTCATAGGATTTGATGAACAATCATATTGTCTATTGTTTTTCTTCAGGGTTTATTTCTGACGTGGGAAAATTAGGTTCGCAAGGTATTCCAGTGCATCGATTGTTCTCTTTTGATGAGCTTAAGGAAGCCACAAACAACTTCGATAAGTCTACCTTGATGGGTGAAGGATCAAGTGGGAAGGTACCATCTAGAATATATAATGTCATATGGCTTAATAAATGTCTGGCAATTTCACATTTTGGGGATTCTATTGAGTTTGCCCTTTGATCTGTTATATACTGAGAGAATATATTGCTTAGTGAGTACAGGTGTAACTATGAGCAATTGGCATTCACAATCCTTATGCTGTGTGCATATGCAATCCATAGGCCACTTGTATGTCCCAGGTTACATATGCTATGTGCAGTGACATTTAACCTCGTCGTGATTAATTGCTTTTAAATTCCATATTTGGAGCTAGAAATGCCATTTTAGATGAGCCTCACATTTAAGAACAACATTGTGGCAGTGGTTCGACTCGAGAATTTAAGCTTTAAATGTTTATGTTGGATTTAACTCTTTCACCTTTTTTGTTCTTTTAATTGTCTTTTTTTCCAGCTTTACAAAGGAAGACTAGAGAATGGAACCTTAGTAGCTATAAGGTGCCTCACTGTGTCGAGGAGATACACAATCCGAAATCTCAAACTAAGGTTGGATTTGCTTGCGAAGCTTCGACACCCTCATTTGGTTTGCCTTTTGGGGCACTGCATTGATGGTGAAGGATGCAATGACTCTGGTGCAAATAAAGTTTATCTTATATATGAATATGTGCCCAATGGGAATTATTGCACTCATCTCTCTGGTAAGATATGACCTATTCCATCCACTGGCTGTTAAGAAGAAACTACCTGTTGGACTCTTTTCTAATTATAATCCAGCTGAATTTCATGCAGATACTAGTCCAGAAAAGGTTCTAAAATGGTCAGACAGATTGATGGTTCTAATTGGTACTGCCAAGGCTGTGCACTTTCTACATACTGGAATCATTCCTGGATTTTTCAACAATCGATTGAAAGCAAATAATATATTGCTCAATGAGCATCGGATGGCAAAGCTAAGTGATTATGGGTTATCCATTGTAGCAGAAGATGGCGAAAGGCAAGAGGTATATATTCCCAACATGAAGTAGTTTTAGCAACCCTTACAATTTTTACACCCCTAAATTTTTTGTCTTATTGCTTTGTAGGGAAAAGGAGAAGGCCTCAAATCATGGTAAGGGCATCCTTTGATAACAAATATTACTACTTCACTGTTCATTCTGGCTCCTACTGCCTTTCTACGTATCATTTACAAAAATTAGTTAGTAAAACTGATTAATTAATTTGAATGAAACTTTACTTATGAGTTCTTATCAATTATTAAAGAAAGAAAATGAAAAGGATTCCAGTTTCTAAATAAAACAAGCAAGTGGTCTGTGTGTAATGTGTGACTCGCCCAGCCCAAGGCAAGATCTTATTATGGACGGTATCTCGTTATACAAACCACTGTGTGTATAAGGTTTCTCATACAAAGTATGTATGGACTTCAGAGACTTACTAGGAGAAAGAGTAGACTAGTCTAATCCATTGACATAGGCCTGCAAACTACAGAAAGGTCGCGCCAATGGACTTACCAAGTTTGTATTTGTCTTCAAGCTGAGTGCGTTACTTATTACTTGCTGACATTTAGCTTGGGTTACCATGATTCAGGCAAATGAAGATTGTAGAGGATGACGTTTACAGTTTTGGATTCATACTACTGGAGACGTTTGTTGGCCCTTCCGCATCAGCAAGAAAGGAGGCATTGTTGCTACATGAAATGGTATTCTCTTATACTCAACTTGGGGTGGATCATAGATACAGTATGCATATTACAAACTTCCATACAACGTAAGCTATGACAAAGCAGCTGATACCAGTGCCTTTTCATTTGATAAGCTTTGTTTTCGCAATTAGTATTTCTTCTCTTTTGGCAAAAATGCTGCTGCAATCACCATAGTTTAAGTAGCATGAGGTTTATATATTAGTGGCAACCGAGGATATTCAGGGAGAATGTAGCAGCTTGTAATCTAATTCCTTCCAAGTTCTTGTAAAATAGAATTTAATAACCAATCTAATATCCTCCTAATTTGTCTATCCAACTCTCTGGTTTATTTGGGTTTTGCATTTGCAGACTTCCTTTGAGAGCCGGGATGGCCGGAGGGGAATAGTGGACCCAACTGTCCTTGCTTCTAGCTCAGAAGAATCTTTGTCGATTGTTATATCCTTAATGCATAAATGCATTTCTCCTGATTCATCAACCCGGCCATCTTTTGAGGATGTTCTTTGGAACTTACAGTATGCAGCTCAAGTTCAGGCAACCGCAGATGGTGACCAAAGTCCAAAGATTTAAGGCCTACTATCTTTGTGAATAGTTTGAGTGGATCAGCCCTAGAACATTGCCAATCTTGCTCTCAACAGCTCAAAAACACTTTGCCCCAACTATTTAGGTAGTTTGTATGAATCTTTGTCAATTAATTTGTGATATTTTGAAATATATTTACTCATATGCATTGTAAACTCATAAATGTGGCTCAGCTTAAACTACCTAAGTTGTTTACATTTCATCATGGTAATCTTATTCCCAAACAACAATATTCAAAATTGATTCTCTAAAAACTATCAACAAAAGCAAAAAATTATTGAATGTTCATGGGTCAAAAGTCAAAACTCGGCCCGTCCTCTCCCTTCTTCTTTTTCTTCCATCTGCTTGAGAATACAAGCGATGCCCTGTGTCTGTGCTCATTGCAATTTTTTCTCCAATACCTTTTGTTCATTCACTAATTCGTCTAGAATTGTACCATATTTTTCAAGACAATTGGGATGGCAGAAAAAGTAGAATCGTCGAAATGTTTGCATATTTTGTAACGATCATAATCTCTATGCATCCTCAATGTCAAGTCTTTGTGCATAGAACCGATTTTGTAAGATAAAATTGATCACTATATCACAAACAAAGATTATAGTTAGTATATGTGTTAATTCATATTTTATGCATTTTCTTTAAATTTATCATTAGTTCTGTGTGAATCGTTATAAGGTGGTATCATAATAAAGATGTTTAATATTATCCCTCATAAATATTCTAGTTATTGTGTGGATGGTTTGTTTTTGACCAGATCAATGAGGAGATTAGTCAAAGTGCTGACCTAAACACCTCTATTCTTTGACAAAAAAAAATGTTGATTTTTAAGGTACGATGACTTCACCGATAAAAATTGGTTGAAAAAAACTTAGAGCTGTTTGCATTCTCCTTGAATATCAGGGTATGTTTGATGATTTTTTTTCACAGATCGGATTATTTTTAATAAATTGTTGAAGAATAAATATTTAAGTTACACTATTTTCAATAGTTTAAGTTTTTAAGTGTAAATAATTGTTTTAACATGATATCAAAGTAGAAAATCCTCACGTGTTAGGCCTAATTTGGTCAACAACTTAACTTTTAGAGTAAATTATTGTTTTAACATAAACACCCCTACAAACTCAACCCAATAATTTTATATGAGATTCAAACATAAATTCAATTCAATCTTATGTTTGGTAAACAACATTAATAAATACAAGACCCGCAATTTTTTCACAATTATCACCAAACATTTGTCATATAAATGACTAAATTATTCATTGACCAATCCAATCTATAGACATATTTGTCTAATTAAACATTTTGTTGATTAGGGATATAAACATTTTCTTTTTACAATTATGCAATGGGCTGCCAAATTTCAAACCCATCCCTTGAGTTTGTTTAAAATTCCATATACTTGTGTTTTATAAAATACTGTTCATTCCCGAGCCTAAAATTTATAATCAAACATAACATATCTGTTGAAATTTTTAATTAAACCGATATATGCATACCCACTTAAACCCATCAAAAAACAAACGCTCGAGAGTTAAGACATTGTTTAAGTCTCATCTAGAAGAAAAACTAAGACTTTTTCACAGCAATTTATATCTCAAGTGAATATCATATA